CCAGCATTCAGTTCCATAAGTGGAGTTGAAAACAAGTTAGGTATCGACTTTCTTGATGCCAAAATAACCATAAAACACGGCGGAACCGTAGGAAGATCCGTCTACAAGAAACCCTTGTGGAATGGCCAGATATCAAATTTTCACAACTGGATCTCCATTACCTGGAAGCAAAACTTAATCACGTCCCTCACTACGTAGATACGAAGAATTTGTAGTTTTGAGGTCCTATATAATGAACTGAGCCTCTTTAAGAAAATACTTGTAAAAAATGTATATCCATTGGTATTTATTGACAAGAATGTAAAACCCAAACAGCCTAGGGCGCAAATAACTTATGTAGAAAATAAAATATTTTATATGAACAACGTTTTCGAAAGTGATATAATTACAGACGTCTTGAAAAGAAGAATTTTTGATTTCCCAGAAACAAGATCCTTCTCAGCGACTTTGCGAATAATTTTCTCCAGACGATCAATGTTCACCAATAGTCTTAAGGATAAATTATCTCTATATGTGCTTATCAATTTACCTTTTCATATACAGCCAAGCATATAGGTTGCTCGACGCGTATTATGGTCAAAATAATCTGAGAACATTATCTGGCTTGGTTGTAAAGAGGTGGAAATGGCTGAATAAATTCAATAATCGAATACCTTGTGAACACAGGTCACTCAATTAAAGCGGATTCTGCCAAAAGCAGTTATATCCCATCTTCTTAGCATTACCGAAGCACCAGATATAGATCTGAAAAACCAGAATTATGTGTCCAACCTATTCTACCATGGTCTTAATCACTCGTAATTTTTCTCCTAAATTTCTTTACAACTATCTGCTCTCCCGTCTCCTCTATAGACTTTTTACTCTCGACTTAGTTATCTCTGTTTCTATGATCCTCTTGATTACAGTTCATCTCAATTTCAACAGCTTATCTTATCGTGATGAATCATCCTTTCCCAATTATAATTTCCCTCTTTACCTTCATGATAAATATTCAAGCTCTCAACAACAAAATTTCTACTAGTCTCCTTGATAAAAACATAACGTTTTGACGCCTTTGTTTATTCTATTTTACTGTTACCATGTTTAAAAGAGTTTTGTTATCACTATTATTGTAATTATTATCACTTTGAAAAATAAGTATACATTTGCGATTGTACAGCTTTGAAAATGAATTCACTAAAAAGTGAACTCTTCACTTAACCAATATTTTATGTCTCTGTGGGTATGTTCCGTTTACTTGAAAAATAATATGAAAAGCAGTTCGGTTAAGGAAAATACAATTAGAAAGGGACTTTTGGTTAAAGGAGTCTCTCCCACTTTCATGAAAGTAAAAAAATACAACACAGCCGCCACTAACCTCAATTGTGAACTGTCTGATAACGTCTCAAGTCAATGTGTTGCTCTATCTCTAGAACTTCAACCAGAGAGTTGTGAGGGACCGACATATGCCAGTCTTATGCAGGTTCCATACCACAACATCATTTCATAAACCTTTCACAACCGTACTACTATCTCAATAGTGTCTAAGATTTCTTACGTGGATATGATTCGTCCTGACCTTTATTTTGCGTCGACTAATTTGTGGATCTGTTCTCGCATGTTATGAAGTCCATCTGTCTTTACTCTAAATTCACTCATATCTTAGTTCAATAACTGTGGAGATAATGTCATTTAATCTAGTAAATGTATTACTTCCTTGCTGTGTACCGAAGGAACAGTATATTTTGTATTTTTACGATGTTGACTGTTAAGCATGTAGTTTGGTAGTTATTTCATTCGAGCTTTTCACAGTTGCTTAATCTGTTGTTATGAACTAGTTATTTGTTCCATCCTGACTAAAGTTTTACAACTGGGTATCATATCTGCAGGTTGACTTTTATTTATTTATTTATTTATTTGAACACATAAATATTGGTACAAGAGAGCGCCAATATATATGCGCCACACAAAACAATGGGAATTTGAAGAGAAAGAAAAAAAAGATAAGGGGTGTGAAAAAAAGAGAACGATAACGAAGAGGTTGGTGTAAGGTAGTGTGGTAGTAATGAGGAAACGGAAAGGTACAATCAGAAGAAATCTTTCAGGTAAGGGAGACACAACCACTTTTTATGAAGAAAGCAAAGAAGGTCACAGCAGGATCGCCACTGGCTTCTATTCTGAGCCATATCTGATAACGTCTGTAGCCACTGTGTAGCACCATCTCTCGGACCCCAACCAGGGAGTCGTGAAGGACTGACACAAGCCAGTCCTTTGCAGCTTTCTTTCATGCCACGACACCATGCCATACATTGACCACCTCTCCGCTTCTTCCAACCAGTCCCAGAGTCGGCAAATAATGCACGACATGGAATTCTCTGGGATGACATTCGGAGAACATGTCCAAGCCACCGAAGTCGGTGTTTCAAGATGGTAACATCGATTGCATTATCATCTCTGTGCCCGAACACACGATGCCGAACCTCTGCATTACTGACATGGTATTGTCACTGGATGTCAGCAATCCTTCGGAGGCAGCGATGATCGAACACAGAAAGTCGTCTAACGTCCTCAACTCGGAGAGGCCAGGTTTCACAAGCGTAGAGCAGAACTGCTCTCACCGACGCGTTGTAGATCCGACCTTTTACAGTGCTGTCGTTCTTTGCTTTACTTTGTGAATTTCCAGTACTAGCGAAATAATCTGATCGTTACATTTAGGTCAGACTATTAGTTTTCGAGTTTTCATTTTCACATAAATAGAGTGAAGACATACTTTTGTTAATAATTATCAGTACAGAATATGAGTCGGGCCAACTAACTAAACCGGTTCGAAAATAAGTCTTATAGTGATGTTGGTTGTGGCTTACCCTGCCTACAATCTATTGGACCTAGTGTCACAGTTTGGAACCGTCACACATCGGTATAGTGTTTTACCAGCTTATATCTCGGATTTAGTCTGTGTTAAATGTCACTATGACTTTTTATGCTAGAACAAGTAATTAGTTCAGGAAGAATGATAAGACGGATTTTCTCGTAACCCTAAAATCTGCCTGCTAACGGGCTCACATGTGTCATGCACTAACGATGATATTTTCTTAGTCCTTAGAAGGAAAACCAATTGAGAAGACTGTAATTATTGACTGAACTTTTAAAAGATTCAGAGTGGTGTGTGCTGGCTGTTGTATTACCGAACATCGTAAGTCAGCAACTAATTGTGGTGCATTAAAGGCACCTCGTAGAGCACTGACCACCGACCAACAATCTCTAGCCTATTTCGTACCTAAGTCTCCAGTACAGTTGTTGCCAAGTCTTATTCACTCTTTTGATGTCTACCAATATTTATGTGTTCGAATAAATAATAAATAAATTAATGTCTACCTCCGATTCCCGGTGCAATATATTCTTTGGTCTGCTTCTCTTCCTTTTGCCATGAGGATTTCAAGTCAAGGTTTGATTTGTGATGCAGTTCTGAAATTTTTTCATTATGTGTCCTAGTCACCTCCAGCATCTTTAACTTAAAGCTGATTTTTCTTCTACCATAGTTGTTGCAGACAGTGTTTGGCCAACAGATCTGGATTATCTTGGTTAAAAACTTTATATGCAATTAGTTCCCTTTATGAATTATGAACCTTATAAATAACTGTATCATCTTGATGATGTTTGTGGTAGTATCATATCTGTGCAGTAGGGACTGTCTTGACGTTTGTATTGAAAGATACTTTAGAGTTATTAGTTGTTATAATCTCTTTCTTACGGTTATGACCCCAGCTGGTCCTATTGCTTAGTATTCTTTTACACCAAATCACTCGGCAAGACCCCAAATCAGAACACGGTTGAACAACAGGAAGAGATTATATTCCAAATAACAAGGTTAGATGAAAGTAAGAAGCAAGTAAAAAGCACAATAGGGAAAAACGTCAGTATATTTATAGTTTTTACATGAGAAAATTCTAAAGTATTCTCCAACTATCGACTAGTGCTGATTGGATAAGAATTAGCCAATCAGTGTGCACCAAAGCAATTGTGCATTGTGCTTGCTTTAATCCAGTCTATGTTCCGCTGACATTAGTATACAAACTTTGTATCTCATTTTGTCTACCTAATAAAGATCGACAATATTTCTATCATAGTTTACTGTTTATTCTAGATAGATCATTAGAAAATACTTATGACAAGGTTGCTTACTCTCACCGTTTCTCTTTCTCCTGGTGATCGACTGGATCATGAAGACGTCAACGTCTGAAGGGAAGCACGGGATACAATGGACATCTAAGATGCAGTTGGATGATCTAGACTTCGCAGACGATCTGGCCCTTTTATCCCACACGCAACAACAGATGCAGGAGAAGACAAACAGCGTGGCAGCAGCCTCAGCAGCAGTAGGTCTCAACATACACAAAGGGAAAAGCAGGATTCTCCGATACAACACAGCATGCACCAATCCAATCACAATTGATGGAGAAGATTTGGAAGATGTAAAAACCTTTACGTATTTGGGCAGCATCATTGATGAACAGGGTGGATCTGATGCAGATGTGAAAGCACGGATCGGCAAAGCAAGAGCAGCATATTTACAACTGAATAACATCTGGAACTCAAAGCAGCTGTCAACCAACACCAAGGTCAGGATTTTCAATACAAATGTCAAGACAGTTCTACTGTATGGGGCAGAAACTTGGAGAACTACAAAAGCCATCATCCAGAAAATACAGGTGTTTATTAACAGTTGTCTACGCAAAATACTTCAAATCTATTGGCCGGACACTATTAGCAACAGCGCACTGTGGGAGAGAACAAACCAGATCCCAGTGGAGGAAGAAATCAGGAAGAAGCGCTGGAAGTGGATAGGACACACATTGAGGAAAGCACCCAACTGTGTCACAAGACAAGCCCTCACATGGAATCCTGAAGGTCAAAGGAAAAGAGGAAGACCAAAGAACACATTACGCCGAGAACTGGAGATAGACATGAGAGAAATGAACAAGAATTGGATGGAACTAGAAAAGAAGGCCCAGGACAGAGTGGGTTGGAGAATGCTGGTCAGCGGCCTATGCTCCATTGGGAGTAACAGGCGTAAGTAAGTAAGTAAAGTAAGTAAGTATGACTTTATAAACAGTATTAATTATGTGTTATGTCGATTGAATATTGCTTCGTCTGGATGTCTTTCATCATTTATTGCAACTTTCACTTTTCTAATTTCATTTCAGATCAACTATCATTGTACTATTCAAGTTACTATTTTCAACTTCACCAATATTCTACTTGAAATCAAATGAGTAGACTTAAGTTTGTACTATTTGCGCATCGTTTATTATCACCCATGTATATTGTTGATCGTACCTTTCAAATTCCAGTTTATTTATTTATAAATAAAATTAATGTTTTCTCAACACAAATAAAACGATTTGCTGGTCATGCTCATTGGCAAAATGTGAAACATATCAAAGAAGCTGGTGATCGTGAAAAAGCTCAAACTGCACTCTATTACATTAAAGCTGCACAAAAAGCAATTAGAGGTAAATTAAAGATTAGTTTTTATTAAATAATAATTATAGATGGTGGAGGAATTCGTGATCCAAAGAAAAATTCAAAATTAGCTACAGTTTTAGCTGAGGCTAAAACAAAATCTGTCCCCTATTCTACCTTCGATAAACTATTAAGTACAGATAATCAAATTGAACCGTATATAATCGAAATAAAGGCTCCTGGTGGATTATTTGTGATTGTAGAAAGTCGAGCTAAACACGTTGCCAATGAGCGTCAACGTGTCTGTTCTATCGCAAAAAAATATGGGTAATTTATTCATTCACTATAATTTCTTTTAAGTTTCTCTCTTGTTCCTGCTGGCGATATAGCTGACAAGTTCTTCGATCATATTGGTTTAGTCACTGTCTCTGCTAAATCTAGTAAACAGTTATCAGATTTAGATGCGGCAACTAATTTGGGCATTGAAATCGGAGCGAAAGAAGTTGAATTAAGTTCTAGTGAAGATCAGCATTATCATGTAAGCGATCTAACCGTCTTTAGTTTTGCATGATGTCGTTTAGATGTTCTTTTTCACTAAACATACTAAACTTAATTCATTTTAGGTGATTATATAGTTCTATAAAGTGTGATTTACCGTTTTGTTTTATTGTTTTCTTCGCCAACAAGATGTTCGTTACTCTAAATCACATTGAATTACTATGTCGTTTTTTCAAGTTATGTTAGAATTTCATTCCCCATAATACAGTTTCTACAAGTTGAATATTATCATTAACTAATTCAGAGAAAGATGTAACTTAAAGCTGACTGAATAAAACTTTTATTTCGAACCCCGCGTAGTGCGGGATCGTGGATGCGCACTGCTGAGGAGTCCCATACTAGGACGAAACGGCCGTCCAGTGCTTCCAGGTTTTCAATGGTGGTCTAGCTTCAACTGACTCATGATTTCAATCTGTGAAAATACAGTTTAGTTATATTTATGAATTGAGACTTAGTTAATTATCTTTGATTAGTCTATAAAACCAACTATTAGAATTTAGCGTAAGATTTAGATGATTGTTGATTTTATTTAGTAGGTTCAATAGAAATGAATTGAAAATACTGTCAAAGTGTTAAAACGAAATGTTTATTGTTATCCAATCACTCTACGTATAATTATCTCTCATTCCATTATCTAGAATACTGAATCGAATAACAAATGTCGTGATTTATTCGAATAAACGACCATCCCCCAAATGCCTTGATACGGTTGAAGGTGGGGAGAATGAGCTCTCCCTTTCGAAATGCTCTTATATGGCTACGTGCATACAATGACTGCTAGGGAAGTCCTACTCACTACCTTCTCGTGACGGGGTGTCGTTTACGAAATTCAGAGAATGAAAAGCGATTTTCCGGCACTTTAACTAGGTTGGTGGATATGAAGGATCCACCTAGTGGAGTTGGAAAACTCTGATTCCAAACCAATGGTGCATATCGGCTCCAGTATAGTGAAGGAACAAATGGCGTATGAACTTATTGCTGGCCACTAGCTACCATGGGACTTTATCTTCTTATGTTGCTCCACTGCCTTGTGGATCAGACCTTTAATTCGAAGGTTCCGGGCGTGGCCCCCTAAAGAAAACCACCTGCTTTGATCTGCGCACCCGATTAGTATCACAACTCATACATAAATCATGTGACTTGTGTAACGCATATGTATTCAGTGCCCCTTTCTACCAATATTTATGTGTTTAAATAAACAAATAAACGATCGATTACCAATGAAATTTTACTTTAACTGTTAAATAATACCATTTACATTCGATCAAAACAGTTACAAATAATTAGTAGTAGTAGTAGTAGTAGTATATATCACCGTTATAGATAATAGAAATATCTACCTCATCCATTCTCTTTTACACCTCTCTTTTTTAATATGAAGTTGTAATTTTCAGTATCCTCGCCGGATTCTTAATGAGATAAAGAAAATAATCATATTTGTCATTTGGATGAGACTATAATTTATGGATGACCTTTGAGTGATGAAGCCAAAGTGATCTTGAGAATGCCTATCTACTGAATACGGCCAAATGAAGGTTATAAATCAATTTGAAGAATAAAGATAACGATTTACAGTTGATAGTTAAAGTTAGGCTTTCATCATGAATTGACATCAGCTATAATGTCAAGATGCTATTTCGATGAATAATAGTTAAGTGAATTTCTCGTTAAAATCCAAGAGCCTGTTATCTTAAATCTGATTAGTTCATTCATAAATTATAATCTTGTCATCATTTGTTTACTACTTATGTATTTTGGTGGAGTTTTGTTCTCTGAGCTGGATGGTTTGGTCGTGGAGCTTTCATCGTTCTTCTGAACAACGACATCATCAACACAAACTTCAAATAGACTTCTATCTGAAAGCTCCACGACCAAACCATCCAGCTCAGAGAACACAGCTCCACCAAAATCATCCACCTGAGCTACAAATCTTCTCCACTACTTATGTATATTATCTTCTTCTTCTATTTTCAACTTATTCCAGTTTCATTGTGAAGTGCATGAAATTGAAAATTTACGTCAATCCCTTGAAACTATACATCATATTCCAGTTATAAATACACAAGATATATATTCTCCTAAAATATTTGTTCCTATTCATCATGATGTACGTCAAAAATTAGATGAAATGTATGATAAAATAAAAACTTCACTTGAATATGTTGATAGAATATTTGATAATGTAATCATGAATCAATAAATCAATAAATCAATATTTATGTATCTATGTGAAAAAATCAATTGAACTCTATAAATGAACATCGTTTCCTATGAATAAAACTTTTATACAAAAAGAAAAAGGGAGAGAGAGAGAGAGGACGAATACTTGATTATACAACATTTTGGATTGTACCTATTTCCAGTTATATTTTAAAGGAAACAAACTTGAATTAGATTGCTAATGTGAAACATTCAATTGACTTTCAATTCATTCGTTAAGATTTTACAAATATATATTCGTCCTCTTTAAAGTTGAAAAATTTTCATAACTTTCTCCTTTTTCTTTCTCTATCTCTTCTTTGTACATTAATGTCATTTATATTAAACAGAATCAATTAAATATCCTTAGAAATGTCCTAGTATGTTAGTTACCCCCCCCCCCAAGTGACCGATGATGAGGAGAGTTAGCTTTTCCTCTCGAAATGCTCTCACATGGTCATGCGTATACAGCCACTGCTAGGGAAGTTCTACTCACTGCCTTCTTGAGGCATTACTGTTGTTTACGAAATTAAGAGGATAAAACAGTGAATGTATGGTGCTTTAACCGGATTGTTGGTACAAAGGGTCACCCAATACATATGCGCTACACTATGAACATTTATTCTGAATTCAATGATTACTGAATATAACCAATATCAGGTTATCTAGTCCTTAATGCTATTTAACAAATTCAAGCGAATAGATTGTAATGTAAACCAAATATCTTGACGGTAACGTAGATTCAAATGTCACAGTAATATCAGTCCATTAAAGATTGTACAATCAAATTGTGGGTAGTCCAATGGCCCATTCAAAGCAAGTAAGTCAATCGACTGATGAACAGGAAACTTGAAAATAATATTCAGCAAAAAGTAAATTTCCTCCTCTGAATTATCTTCATCATTCCAAAATAACAATTAGATGGAATACTTTTGAACTTAATTAGTCTGATTTATAAAAAGACAAATATATGACACGTGCATACAAGTCAGTCAGTCAGTCAGTAACAACGTAGAACTTCGTACGTACGTACATCAGTTCAAGTTGCCACACCACATTAGTACAGAGATGCAGTGGTCGATTCAAATCCCGTAGTGCTACATGTAGTAAAATTATAAGCTGTAATCAGAAAAATTAGGGTTTGAAAATGTTATTCAAGGAGTATAATCCAGTGAAGTAAATTTGGAAAGAGAAAAAAGAAAGGGACATGAAGAATTCAGAAGATTAGAATTTGGTAGAGCATAAAGAATGGATGCACCTGCGCCATTGCAAACCATTTTGAGCCATGTCATTCAGGGTCTCTAACCATCGGTTGCTATCATCTCGCGGTCCCCAACCACGTAGTCTACACCTACCAACATGACTCAGTCTACTTGTCAGTGACTTCATGGATTTGTGCCATGTTTTGGTCTGGCCACCCCTAGCTTTCTTCCAACCTACTCCTTTACCATTGAACATCGCTCGTCGAGGCAGTCGGTGGTTGGGCATACGTAACACGTGTCCCAGCCATCTCAACTGATGAAGTTTCACTACTTCGTCAATTGATTTGCCATCCTTACCTAGTACCCGTTTCCTAACAACTGTGTTACTTACTCGATGGTCCCAGAATATACGAGTTGACTTAGTTCTAATATTCTAGTATTTATAATCCCGATCAGATGAAAAAAATCTAGGGACCAATACCTGGCCGGAATTTCTAAAGAACTCAACTGAATCTAAACACCAGCCAATCGTTATTCTCAATCAAAACAGAGGCACTCGCATACATAACTTTAGAGTTTGAACAATATTTACCGATTAAGATGAATCCACTTCGTTTTCCACTATTCTTTTTATTTGTTTGTAACTATTGTATGAAATAAAATTATTTCGACGCCCAATTATAGTTTTTTTGGTCACTGTCATTGATTTCATAAAAAAGCGGATTTTCTTTTTCCATATGTCATAGAGTAAGAACCGCCAACACATAGACAATAGCTCAAACATACTAGCTGGGATGAGAACTGAACGTAATACTATATGACTGATTCCGACTCCTGATCATCCCAGTCTATAAGAGAACGCGGATACAACAAAACCAAATTCTTAACAGTTCATTCATCTTTTCTTTTTTACGATCACTAATACTATTGCTTTGCTTTGTATATTTAATCACTGAGCTAATGCCTGCTTGTGTTAGGCTCCATATTGGTTATAACTGACATGAGTATATTGACATTATACGTTACTTAATTATTACTAAAGCACATGTGTTTAGTGATTTATTCCTGTATTCAAAGATATCATATGTGGTCCCAAAATATGGAATCACCGAGTGACCTCTTGTAGTCCCAGTTCTAGTAAACTGTTCTATGCTTAGCCTAGAGAACAACGGCATGGATTCGATAATTCATTTTCCTACTGTGCATCAGGTACGTGCTCACAAGTCTTGAGTGCTGTTAGAGGTATGAGGGCGGTTATCACTTCCCGGTTGCCCACACCGTGGAAGGGTTCTTCTAAAGGTACTTGAAAAGGAAATTGGATTAGAGGTGGTCTCAGTGACCCGAGAGCGTGACCGCAGTGCCCAACGGACAACTGCTTGAGGTCGGTCACACACGACCTTTCTATGGGTAATTTTCGTGTTAGTTCCGTACTTGTTGAGACCTTACCGCCGGAGACGGATATCCGTGGGATAAGGCGAGGTGTGCATTTTTAGGGTCGACCTTTTCCAACCCCACCCCTCCTTGTGGGAAGGCAGCATCGCTGTCATGCTGGTTGTCTGAAGGAAACACCTTACTGCTGTCGCACCTCTGTACAGTCAGCAGTACGACTTCGCCTTCAGACCTTGGGTTTGTTGCTTTTAGTCTTACCGCTCTTCAACCGACCTGTCTGACATGGTAGGATTTTGAGGAACAGTATATCCCGATTGGTTCATCACGATAGGGAAGCCCGACCACCACGTTAAGGTAGCAACAACGGTCACAAAGTGTCACCTGAGTCATATACTATAAATATTCACTAATTAATCATAATAGGCATAATAAAATGTTCATTTTTCTTATCGTTTATAGTACTCAGTTAAAATTATGTCGAAATTGAGGAAGCTTTTATTCACGGATGTCATTAGATGCTTGTCGTACTATATTACGGATGGAATAAAGTTAGAAGAATCAACTAGCTGACTCAAATCCATTGGTTTACAAGCGATTTGTTATCTAAAGGTTTTGATCCCGATAACCAAATTCCTAAAGAGTCCTAAAAATTAGGACGAAATATCGATATCCAGTGCTTCTTGAGTTCTGATTCGTTCAGCCAGTGGGACAGAAAAGAGTAGGTTAGTTAAATTAAGAGGAACTGACTACACAATACGAAAAACCTCGTATGTACATTATATGTAGGATATTATACAATATTAAATAAATGTATTCTTGTAGCTATTTTCAAGCGATTCGAATCTTATGCCCTCTGATACTATCACTACCATTACTGTAGTGTGTGCTACTTATATTGACATAAGTAGTATATGATGTTAGTTGTGAACAGAAGGTCTGGCAGCAGAGATACAAGGTGATCAAACAGTAAAGAATGAAAACAGGATGTAATTTGTATGAAAATGCAGGGACAATGAAGTCTGAGTCATTATGAGACAATTCATGGGCATTTTGCAAATTAAGCATTTACTTTATGAGTGTTAGATTTTATTATCAATTCCTGTAACTGTGTTAAACAAATCCGATTGTCCCCACCCGTGTTCTGTTCACTACACTACAGTTATATCCCAATAAGAATAATGAATGGTGATTTTTGGGATCCATTTATGGACCAATACTAGACGTATATTTTTATCGTATAATTGTTATGTAACTAGACTGTTCATATTCGTGTCCCTCTTATTATGAGTTTTATTTTGACCTATGAACTATTATTATACGATTTACCGTTCTTGAATTATTCCCTGTCTGTTAATCACTACCTCCTTCATTCACAGTCACTTTTGGCCAAATATTGTACAAATGTTATTTTCTATCTTATAGCACGTTGTAGTCTGTTTGATCGGTAATATAAACCCCGTGTGTTTGAAGTAAATAATTCATATCGTAGAGGCTGAGATGAGTGTTTTGGGCTTAATTGGTTGGGCTAGACAGGAAGCGAGACCAATCAGGACTCTAGGCTGCTCGCACGTGTTTTATGCATCACTGGTTCGATCGATAATTCGCTGCTCTCCGATTAGCAGTACCGTTGTGTTATACAATAAACAGAGCACACAGGTTCACAAGTTATAACGACTACTACTACTATTACTACTACTCCAGCATTTATCTTGATAATTTCGTCTCTCTGTACTGATATTGTACAGTGATGCCTTTTGCACTGTATTTACTTATGATTGATCTAATAATAATAACACCAACAATAATGATCTCGTTTCTATTCCATTTTCTTTGTTTAAAATATACACAATAATCAAAATTTCATACAGTAAATGCCACAATTGGTTAACATTAAAGAATAGAATTAAAGTTATGCCCCCTTTTTATGTTTTGTAAATCACAGATTCTATTCATAATAAGCATAAACTATGAGCTATTTCATCAAATAAAATAAATTGAAATTAAATGCAGGATTAAACAAAAAAAAGAAAAGAAAAGAAGAAGAAGAAGAAAAGGAAAATCAAAATGAGAACGATGTGAATAAATGGAATACACAGATACCTTGATAGTAACATTAGAATAACAACAACGATACAGAATGACTTTGACTTATACAGTGATCGATGATGGTGGTGGTTGTTTGGTTGGAATCGCAATACTGTGGATACAGACTGTTCGAATTTCTCCTTGTTATTATTATCATCATCACCATCGTTATTACCTATTGTTGACGATTAAATAGTGCCTATTGGTTTAGTGTAGGAATTATGACGAAGTTTGAGTAGAACCTGTGTGTAAATAAACGCAGTATGTAAATATAAATAAAGCAGATGATAGTGAAAAGGTATGAAATAAAAATTTAGATAAATAATACTACACCCCCCCCCCCTCATACCACACATACTCCAGTTATACATGTATATCTATGGAAATAAAATCATCTATGACCCTCTTAAGATGTGAAATTTTGCAAAAAGTTGGATGGAACTCATCATTAATCAATAGAATATCAGGACGCAAAATACTACGATTTCAAGACTATTTTATAAAAAGGACTTCAGAAGGAACTACAAAAATTGCAAAATCATTCAAATTGAAGAAGCTGTTCACTATTCCTTCTTGTTTAATAAACAATCAATAATTAGATGGTGGTTGGAGGTAGTCAACAGGAAACTCTAGACCCGGGTTTCGTGCTACTTGGCACTCGTCAGCAAGGTGTACCTGTAATCTTGAGGGAACTGGTGCTCCCTGGCGGATTCGATCTCGTGTCACCCAGCTTCACATAGTGCCCGCACTGTCGAGTCACCTAGACTGGTGGCCACATTGCAACATGATCGATAGCATTCGATCTGCACTATTAAGGACTAGACAAGCATGAGATTGATCACCACCCAGTGATCAATCAATTGTGAAACAATCAATAAAAATTATTGATTTGGTGATGGTTTAGTGATAAGATCACGATGAATTCACAGTTTATGGGTGATCTTTGAAGGACTCTTAAGTGTCCACCTATTACTTACTAGGGTTAAAATAAGAGTTATAAATTAGTGTGAGAAATTGGAATTAGAATCAAAGGTTGGATGTTGAAATTAGGAATTCGAGTTAGGGTTCTGATCACGAACTGACATCAGTTATAATGCCAAAATGCTGTTTAGCCTTATCGACGAATGAATTTCATGACAAAATCCAACACCTGCTATCTTAAATCTGACTGGTTCATCCATAAATTATGTTCTCGCCGAGATCACTGAGATTTCACAGCTGACAGGTACGTTAGAACTCCACACCAGATACACCAGTTCAGGTAGAAGCATTAATTCTCTGACACACCTAAAATATGCGTTGCATCAAACTCCTTCGACAAAATCTCTGAAGATCTAGAAAAAGACTGAAAATTTTTTACTCAATAAGCATTGAAGAGGAACTTCTTATAAATATCCAGAAGAATGTGGAGTTATGTCACGTTTTGGTTGGAGTTACTATATTTAGAATGCACCCTGAAGTTTCTAAACTACAAAGGTCATATTAAATTTTCCGTTCATAAGTTAATGTTGAGTTAAAACGGGTTTTCTTTAGCCTCTATTGTTCAAGTTGTCAGAATACAAGAATCGGCTTGGAAATGAGTAACAAGCATTGAAGAAGCAGATTTACCGACTTAGTCACTTTATCATAACTTTAAATGAGTTACTTAATAAAAATTGATATCCAAAATACAGTCCCATGTACGTGGTTTTCACTTATACATCGTATGTGAAGATATTCATAATATCCGTTTGCTTACAATGAAGTAGATACGGGTAGGCTTGAACCCGAAACATAATGCTTTAACCTATCTGGAAAAAATGAGTGTTCCAGCTTGTATAGTTCGATGTAAAAGGCCAATTATCAAGTCGAAGCAACAGCCGCGGTCGTGTTTGTGCTAGTGTTCGATTATTTAACCTTAATGAAACAACTGGAATTGTTGTAACCCTCCGAAAATATACACTAGTGATACTGGCATCTTATAAAAAAGCTCAAATTTTACTAGTGTTATGGATGAAAAGAACTGATTTATATTATTAATTTAAGACTAAATATATTTATACCATAAAACCATACTTTTAAATCAGCGCAGCGATTTCGTTCAGCTTGTATAGCTTCTAACGAACGAGCATTGAGTTGTTCTAAACGAGCATTATCCAATGTAAGTTGATGTAATGTTGTAGCTAACTCTAGTTCACATTCATCTTCATCATCATCATACTCTTCTTCTTCATCATCATCATCATCATCGTCATCATCATTGTTTTGTTCATGTTTTGTAAGTTGTACATTTTGTACAGAATTTATATCATTTTCTTCTTCAGTTAGTCGTGAATAAGCGACTGAATCAGGTGAAGAACCTCTATTTGTCAAAATTGGTTCTTCCAACGAATCACCATCGTCATTATCATCATTAGCAGAATGAAGATGACGGTTGTGACGATCGGAATCACTTGAATATTCATCGAGTAAACATTTTTCCTTTTGATTATTAATGCTACTATATTGAGTAGTAGCAGTAGTATGATCGTCATCATCATCTAGAACATGGTCATTGATTACAGTTGTTAAACTTTCAGCTATTTTAGTCCACGGTTGTGATACATAATAATTCATTTGATCTTCATTATTTAAAGTATGTTGTGGTGTTGAAATAATAGGATTTTGATTTAACAACCAAGCTGGACAAAAATGTTTTGCTGTCATATAGGTACGATATATTCGTTTAGCTCGTCTACCTCCAGATTCTAGAAGGTGATTTATACATGACTATGTTGAAAGGAAAAAAAGGAGGAAAATAGATCAGTTTTACAAAGAAACAAGGAATAATAATAATGAAGAATAAACAGAGTATTCAACAACAACAAAAAAAACATATCGCTTCTGGTTAACTATACTGATCAATTTCCATCTCTGAAATAAAAGTTATTTATCGGAATGGGTTTTGTGGAGATTTTAGAAATTTCACAGATTGAAATCATGAGTCAATTGAAGCTAGACCACCATTGAAAACCTGGAAGCACTGGACGGCCGTTTTGTTCTAGTATGGGACTCCTCAACAGTGCGCATCTACGATCCCGCACCACGTGGGGCTCGAACCCAGGACCTACTGGCTTCGCGCGTGAGCACTTGACCACTAGACCACTGAGCCGGTATCCAACGGTGTTAATGTCTAACTTCAACCAATCCACGAAGTTGCGCCACCGTACACCATTGTCTTCAGTGAGTTACTATCTCACAACAGACCTGGTTGAACTCCATTGGTAACGGCTTCTCACTAGAACTCTCTTGAAGTCAGTCACTAGTGAGCAGATGATTGAATTCATGAGTCAATTGACTTATGATTTCAATCTGTGAAATTTCTAAAATCTCCACAAAACCCATTCCGATAATAATCAACTGCTCACTAGTGACTGACTTCAGGAAAAACTCCCGAAGTTCTAGTGAGAAGCCGTTACCAGCGGAGTTCAACCAGGTCTGTTGTGAGATAGTAACTCACTGAAGACAATGGTGTACGGTGGCGCAACTTCGTGGATTGGTTGAAGTTAGACATCGTGGATGCGCACTGCTGAGGAGTCCCATACTAAGACGAGACGACCGTCCAGTGCTTCCAGGTTTTCAATGGTGGTCTAGCTTCAACTGACTCATGATTTCAATCTGTGAAAAGTTATTTACACAATTCAGTGCCTAATGTAAATACACAGTCAAACATTTACAGCTCTATCTAAATTATTTTGGTGTATTTCTATGTATCATTCTTAAACAAGCAGAACATTTCTTATCTTATTGATAAGTATTACATAACCAGAATAAAATGTAGATATAGAGCATCACTTTAATCACTGACTTATTGGGAAAACAATATTAATAGGCTAAATCGAAGTGATAGCATTCGGTAAATCTTAGCTAGTTAGAATAAAGCTAGAATAATAACTGACATTAACTCCTAAACCGAATGAACCAAGGAAATTAGCTCTAAACTTAAAGCAAACTCATGGCATTATTTATTTATTTCCCAGTTCAGTGGATATTACTTTGGAGGTTTGAAAAGAAATGTAGTAGGTCCGAATCCTGGTGTGAACACCAACATAGATGTAGGCACATCCAACTGAAGTCTCAAATAAGATTCCCCTGTTAGGTCTTTCTTAGGTATGCTGAGGAATATACCAATCATTATCATGTTAAGTCTAATGATGTCCTTGGACTCTAAATGGGCATTCCCTATTGGCCATTATTTATTTCACTTGTTAAATATTGTACAGATGTTGTTTTCTATTTTATGGTACGATGTGGTCTGTTTGCTTGGTATATAAACAGAGTATGTTTGAAATATGAGGATTTATAACTCAGAGGCTGTGACTTGCGTTCTAGACTCAACTGGCTGGGCTAGATAGGGAAGCAGAGCCAATCGGGAATCTAAGTCGTTCATTACGTGTTTTCTGTGTCACTGTAATCGATCGATAAAACGCTGCGCATCTAACCTGCAGTTCACCCGTCACAACAGTCTTATTCAAGTTTACTTTTAGCTCATAGCTTCGATAAAATTGTTACGGATTCAAATATTGTAAGCCGAATTAAGTATTTACAATGTTCAGTCGAAAACCTTGGAATTTACGAAAACACCAACATTAACACTTTCAAAAGAACATGACATCCTACTTGAAAATTTTGAGAGGCATGTACATAATTTATTAAATAGAAAATTAAATTGGATTTTGTGTCCACTGTTGTTCTGATTTTATTCAAATTCATCAATGGAACTAATTGTATGAAACTAACTAGTTACATATTCTCATTGTTAAGACAATAAACCAAGCTTATCAGCAGAGGGACTGTGGAGATTATTGGTTTTTATTAAGATCGCCAACCGATCCAAGTTAGGCAACAATTGAAAACCTGAAGTACTAGACAGTTGTTACGTTCGAAGATCTAGGGTTCGATCTCCGGTAGTAGGATTGTGAATGCGCATGGTTGAGGAGTTTATAAAGCCACTAATTTTAAACAGCTAATGTTTTTATTCAGCCATCTGACTGATGCTAGTTCAAACATTACAGGGAACATTAATTCCCTCATGATTGTGGATATTTCTTACTGACAAGTACCGGCTACCACGAAACCTAGGTTCAGTGATTTGAACCGGTTGATTCCAACCGCCAGACACGAATGTAAATAAATAACGAAGAGAAATAAGTCAGTGTATAGAATAATTGTATTTGATTACTACCGTGTCATCACTAAATGTAGACCCTTTATTAACCATAAATTCATAAGCTCTTCAGATAATCTCCCATATCAGTTGATAGAGTATCATGATTACAGGCTAAATTTATATCAATTATTCGCTACAGTAACATTTTCTAATCCAAAGTCAAACTGTTTTGAGGAGTTTACATTGTACGATGATGCTTTAAAATTAAGAGGTAGTGGATAATTGTTTTGTTTCAATCCGTGACTCTTCAGAAATATTCATCTATAAGTAACTAAGTCCGCAGTGAAAAACATTGATCCAATAATAATATTATTGAAATATCTTATAGGGATTAGTTCAATTTGTAAACCGTAGTCGCACTAGGCTGAAATCATTTGAAGTACCATTGAAAATCAGGAAGCTCTGGAAAGTTATTTCATGATAGTATGGCACTCCACAGTCGTGTGCACCTATGCCCCCCCCCTATAGGGATCGAATTTATGACCTTAACAACTCAGGGCGAAAGTCCTCATTTTCGACCCCAATGGATGCGCAGCATAGCGCGACAATAAAGCAACGTGGTTTAATAGTACCCACATTTAGGTGGGTATTTTGGTATTCTGTCTCAGTGAATAGATAATGGTGATCGTCTGCTGCAGCTATGCTCAGACAATCGTTTATTTTTAGCAAACACAAATTTTAAGCATAAGGAGAGACATTGTCTAACATGGCGACTCCCTACACCAAACCAACGATGGACTTAAATAGACCATATTGCCATCAGTCATCGTTGGAGAGGGTCGGTAGATGATTGCCGATCGTTCTGGTGTACCTGCTTGGACTCTGACCATGCCCTAATACGGACACGCATCTGCTTGCGCCTCACTGGACGCAAAAAAGCCACATTAAAAAGACCCATTAGAACTGAGTTGAGTAACGAGAAAATCAAAAGTAGGTTCCAGGAACAACTGAGGTCACAATTAGGTAGTTCTGAAAACGAGGTTAACCCAGATGTTGCTTGGAAAGATATACAAGCAGTTGTGGAAACAGTAGTGACATCTATTAGTGATTTAAACCACAGGGTTACAAAGAACCAATGGATTTCTTCATAATTTGGCTTATCTGCTACTCACTTTTATTAATTTTACTGTTTCTGTACTGTGTATCAACTAGAATTGAAGTATATTTATGTCAAATTTAAAGTTATTTAAGATCAAGACTTAGAAATTCAATTGAAAATCATCAATATCGTCATTGTTATTGTCAATACAGTAACCTGTCATTTAATGTATACACTATAGTTGCAATATCTTTCTTTATATAAATTGTACTGTAACACATAATTTAAAAACACTTTCACTTGAACAAATAGATAAATACACAATGTGAATGAGTAAATAATTTGTCACAATAAAGATTTATTACTTATTTATTTTTTTGATTGAGATCATGAACCGATTAATGTTAGACCATCACAATTGAAAACCTGGAAGCACTGGACGGCCGTTTCGTCCTATTGTGGGACTCCTCAGCAGTGCGCATCCACGATCCCGCGAGCGGGAGTCGAACCCAGGGCCTTCGGTCTCGCGCGCGAACGCTGAGGTAGATACCTGTCTCTACCCGACAAGGATTAGCTCCACTGGTCACGGCTTCTCACTAAAACTCCGAGAACTCCCTCACGAAGCTAGTCACTAGTGAGCACATGTTAATTACTAGTATAGGGGTTGTGGAAATTATTAAGTTTTTGATTGAGATCATGAACCGATTGATGTTAGACCCACAATAGAACGAAACGGCCGTCCAGTGCTTCCAGGTTTTCAATGGTGGTCTAACATTAATCGGTTCATGATCTCAATCAAAAACTTAATAATCTCCACAACCACTATACTAGTACTTATTTATTTATTTATTTAAACATATAAACATTAGTAAAAGGAGGCACCAAGTAGATATGTGACACATAAATCACTCGATTTGTGTGAGGGCTAGGATACTGCCCAGGTTCCCAAACTGAAACAAGTGGATTCCTTAGTATACCACACCCCGAGCCTTTGACCTAAAGGTTTAACCCATAAGGCAGTGAAACAACGTCAGGAGATGCAGTTACATGGTAACCGTAGATCAACAATCGGTTCATACACCTTTTGCTGTCTTTGGATCCTGGAGTCCATATTAACCATTGGTTTTGCATCAGGGTTTGTCAACTCCCTTAGGTGGACGCTTCGTGTCCACCAACCCACCCGATTAAAGCGCCGGATATTCCCTATGCGTCCTCTCACTTTCGTAAACAACACCCTGGTCACGAGAAGGAAGTGAGCATTACTTCCCTGGTAGTGGTTGTACGCACATGGTCATATGAGAGCATTTCGAAAGGGAGAGCTGACTCTTCCCACTCTCGGTCGTGCCATGGCATTTCGAGGCTATCCAGATATATATAATAATATCGGTTTCTCATGGAAACTAGTAGTAACATAAAGCAACTAACAAACGAATTAATTTACCTGTAATCGACTAATTTCTGCATTTTCCGAACGAATTCTTGCACGTAAATCCGTTTGTATTGCGATCAATTCTTGTTTACGTGCTTTATAATACATAATTTGACGTGATTTCGAATCATTTATATCGACTGTAGAAGTTTGAATGAATTCTGACAATTTTGGCGCTAAATCCGATGGTGGTGGAAGTGAAGGTGAATAACTCATAGAATAAGATGAGTTATTAACAGTCGAAATTGTTTCATAAGGATATAATACATTATTATTATTATTAGTATTATTATTATTATAATCAATATTATTATCATTAGTATTAGTGGAGATCAATGTATTTTGAGTGTATGCATTAGGAATAGTTTTGTTATTAATTTCTGTAGGAGTTTGGTCTGATGGTGAATGTAAACAATCCACAGAGTTGGTTTCTTGTTCAACGACCTAAAAAAAAATTGAAATGAGAAAATAAATACACATATGTATACTACTGATTTGTGAAAATTTGCCTTGAGGTTAGAGCTAGAGGAGAATTCAATTTGAATAAATAAATAAACAGTAAGAATGTAACTAGTCAATTCATAGTCAAAGTGAGATCCAACACAAATGTATTTTGGTACAAGATTATAATACTACACACATTCCATAGTTAAATAAGTCGATAATTGTGAGAAGCAGACAATATATCGACAATAAGGTTCAAAAAGAAGCAAGTATCCGGGGTAACAGTCAGTCAGCTACAACGTAGGGCCGGGCACATATATGCATCGGTCCAAGCTACCATATCTCATTAGCACAGCAAGATGAACAGCGGATTCATAGGAGTGGTTAGGTCAAAGGTGGTAATATATAGGAGAAAGATTGCAATAAAGATATAATACAAGGAGAAAGAATTGGTTCGTAGAAAGAAAGATATGAAGCGATTTTAATCTCTTAGTTTAAGGGAAGACACAGAGTGTATACACCGACTGCATTGTGATCAATTCTGAGTCATGTCATACACAGTCTCCAACCATTGGCTACGATAGTCACGCGGACCCCAACCAAGTAGTCTAGTGTCCTAGTGAAGATTACATTACGAGTAACTTCTGTCAACTATTAATGGACTAATATTATTTATGTATTCTCATGGTATAAATATTCAGTAACTAGATTATGTATATCTATATTCCCCTTGTTATAAGCTTTATTTTGACCCCTAGATTATTATTGTACGATTTACTGTTCCTAAGTTATATTCAGTTTATTGACCAGTGCCTCCCACGTTCACAATCACTTTTTGGCTTTATTGTGTATGAATGTTATTTCCTATTTTATGCTGCGTTGCGGTCTGTTTGTTTGGTATATAAACCCAGTATGTCTGAAATAAATGATTCGCATAGTGGAGGCTATTGTTGGTATTCTGGACTGAGCTGGACGGGCTAGGCGAGCAACGAAACAATAGGACGCTAGGCTGATCAGACCGCTCATACGTCATTGGTTTAGTCCAATATAAGAGCGAATAAGTTGTATTTTCATTGGCGAATAGATTACGTGATAACTAGCGGGTCATAAAGTCATAACAGTCTACATCTACAGACATCGCTCAGACCAGAAGTTAGTGACTCCAAACACTGATGCCACGTTTTGGTTTGGCCGCCCCCAACTTTCTTCCAACCATCTCCAACACCGATTAGCATTTTGATGGAGTTTTGTTCTCTGAGCTGGATGGTTTGGTCGTGGAGCTTTCATCGTTCTTCTGAACGACATCATCAGCACAAACTTCAGATAGAAGTTTGTGCTGATGATGTCGTTCAGAAGAACGATGAAAGCTCCACGACCAAACCATCCAGCTCAGAGAACAAAACTCCATCAAAATCATCCACCTGAGCTACAAATCTTCTCCACCATCTCAAAACCGATTAGCATTACACGTAGTGGTAGTCGGTGTTCAGGCATGCGTAACACGTGGCCCAACCGTCTCAGTAGGTGAAGATTCATAACCTCATCAACTGATTTACCATCGTCATTATCTAATACCCTGCGTCTGACCTCACTATTACTTATTCGATGATTCCGTCAAGGGTAACACGTATAAAATAAGTCAAAATATAAAATCTAAGCAAAGATTTAAAAAAAGGAATACAGTTGGGTCATTGCTACAAATCTTGATCAATGTTACTTAAGGTCTCCAACTATACTGACCACGATTATCGTATGGACCCCTAATCAGTTAGTTGGTACGTAGTCAGATTAACAGTTAATAACACCATAGACCAATCTGAAATGACAGAATATATTAATGATTATTTTGCTTTAAAAAAAAACAACAACTGAACACTACTAGACAAACTGATTTCGAATGAACTAAGTAATAAATGTGAAGATTTCAAGGTTCATTTAAGCAAATAAATCACAATAGCTTATCGAAATGTTTCAACAATTGTTGTGGATGCAGAAGAATAGACCAATAATTATCATGTTAAGTCCAATGGTGTCCTTGGACTTTAAATGGACATTTCCTATTGGTCGATATCTGTTCACTTGTTGAATATTGTACAAAATGTTGTTTTCTATTTTTATGGTACGATGTGGTCTGCTTGATTGGTATATAAACAAAGTATGTTTGAAATACAATGGTTCATATCTCCGAGGCTGTGGCTTGTGTTCTGGACTCAACTGACTGGGCTAGACAGGGAAGCGCAAACCAATCGAGACTCTAGGCCGTCCGTACGTGTTTACGTGTCACTGTAATCGATCGATAAGTACGCTGCTCTCTCATTTTCCAGTCAAGGACACAACAATTAGCACAGGGTAAAAATCGACCGCAACTTAAAGTCATAACAACAATATATAACTGACTACATTGCTTCTGAGGTTTGAAATGTTTGAATGAGCGTAGGAACACGAGGAAAGTAAATTTCAGCTTCACAGTTTTATTGATATACTTTTGAATACATCGATAACATCACATATGTGTGTATTTTACATTCATTTTCATTTTATAATCTACATTATTTAGTGTAATTATTATTATTATTATTTTCTTCGTTTCTATCCTACTCATTATTTAGACTATTTTTGGAATGCCTTTAGATATAGCCTGTAACAGAAATCCTAGTCATGATGGAATTGTTCTGCCAGCGTTTTTTCGTCATTGTATCGATTATATTGAACAGTATGGTTTAAGTTCTGAAGGAATATATCGTGTAAGTATACATTTTCTTTTTAATACTTATTTATATTCACAAATTGTAATATTGCCCTCAAATACTATGATACGGTCGAGGGTAGGGAGAGTCACCTTTCCCTCTCGAAACGCTCTCACATGGCTACGCGTATACAACCACTGACGTGGAAGTCCTACTCACTACTTTCTCGAGGCATTACTCTTGTTTACGAAATTGAGAGGAAGAAAAGCGAACGTTCGGCGCTTTCACTACGTTGGTGGACACGGAAGGTCCACACAGGGGGGTTGGAAAACCGTGGTTCCAAAGCAATGCTCCACATGGACTCCATGATCCTGAAGGAACAAATGGCGTATTAACCAATCGTTTGTCACTGACTACCATGTTACTGCATCTCCTTACGTTGCTCCACTGCCTTTTGGATCAGACCTTTAAGTCAAAAGCACCGGGTGCGGCCCCCTAAGTAAACCACCTGCTTCGGTTTGGCAACCGGGTAGTATTCTAGCTCCCACACAAATAGAATGAGTTTTGTGGCGCATATCTATTTGGTGCCTTCTTGTACTTATGTTTATGTGTTTAAATAAAATAAATTTAAAACTATCATAATTCAATAATTTAATGCATGTAAAATGTTTCACTGTAGAACTTAGCCGTTCACATGAATCAGGGTTAATAAAACTGATATATTCTAACAATATAACATACGTACAATCATAAACAGCAAGGTGTTTTGTAGATATTACAGTAATTTAATATTTGAAATCATGAGTCAATTGAAGCTAGATCACTATGGAAAACCTGGAAGTACTGGATGGCCATTCCGTTCTAGTATGGGACTCCTCAGCATTGCCCGCTCATTGGTCTATAGGTTAAACATTCGCGCTTGAGACCGATAGGTTCTGTGTTCAAATCTCGCGAGGCGGGATCATGAATGCGCACTGCTGAGGGGTAGCATACTAGGACAAAACCGCCATCCAGTGCTTCCAGGTTTTCTATGGTGGTCTAACTTTAACTGACTCATGAATTCAACCATTAAATACATACAATTGCTAACAGTTAGTCACGTTGTAGAAATATTGGAAACCAATGCTTATTTTCATGTTATAAGAAAACTATAAATAATAATAATAATAATAAACATTTACTTGATTATCCATATTAGGCATTTGACTAGATTTTACAGTCAAAACGTCTTGTTCGTACATGAATTTATCATTCATATGATTATTGTTATTCTCATTGTCTGTATTCATTGTATTCTCTTTTAAATGTCCTTGTTCGTGGTTATTATTTTCATCTTGTACAATATTATTTACATTTAATGTATTTTGGCTGATATCATTAGCACCGCTACCGCCTTCATCATCATCATTATCAATATGATGGTTATCTTCATGACGTATACAATCACTTGTGATCACTGCTGTCTCAATTGTAGTAGTAGTAGTAGTAGTAGTAGTCATTGTTTCCAATGATGTTACTGTTGATGATGAGATTTGTTCAATAAATTCTGTCTTATCATGATGATTAACATTATTGATTGATTGTTCTGAACAACTATTACACGTTGTAGATACTAATTGTGTCATTGAAGTCATTGGTTCAATTGGTAATTTTCTAAACATTGAATGTGAATAAACAGAATAAAGAAAAAGTCTCATTTTAAACAAAACTATCATCATATTTCAAATAAGAGAAATAGATCTTCATCATAGTAGAAATTTCACAAGAAAATAAAATGATGATTGAGAACTTTTTACAAATACACCATAGAAATATCGATATGAATTAGTAATTAATACTAATGTGTAAATAACACATGTGTATATAAACCAAACCCGTACACACACACATACATACATGCATGTATACACAATACAAAATACACTAAACAATTAAAAACAAACAAACAACCTTTAAAGATAGCTCAAGTAAATTTTAATGCTGGTGGTGGCGTGAGTGATAAGATCAATGCATGTATAGTGAAAGCCAGAGCGACTTATGCCCATGTGGGCCATCTTTCACACCTTCGTGATGTCAGTCTGGCTGTTAAAGGTCGGATCTACAACGCATCGGTGAGAGCAGTTTTGATATATGCTTGTGAAACCTGGCCTCTCCGAGTTGAGGACGTTAGAAGACTCTCTGTGTTCGATCATCGCTGCCTCCGAAGGATTGCTAACATTCAGTGGCAGCACCATGTCAGTAATGCAGAGGTTCGGCATCGTGTGTTCGCGGCACAGAGAAGATAATGCAATCGATGTTACCATCTTGAAACACCGACTTCGGTGGCTTGGACATGTTCTCCGAATGTCGTCCCAGAGAACTCCATGTCGTGCATTATTTGCCGACTCTGGGACTGGTTGGAAGAAGCGGAGAGGTGGTCAATGTATGGCATGGTGTCGTGGCATGAAAGAAAGCTGCAAAGGACTGGCTTCTGTTGGTCCTTCACGACTCCCTGGCTGGGGTCTGAGAGATGGTGCTACACAGTGACTAGAGACGTTATCAGATATGGCTCAGAATAGAAGCCAGTGGCGATCGTGCTCTAAAAACTAGTTGTTTCTTCCGTAACTGAAAGAATTCTTTCTAGTTGTACCTTTCCGTTTCCCTTATTACTATTATTATTATTATTACACTACCTAACACTAATCTGTGATCGTTATTGTTCTTTTTTTTTTCTTTTATGCTCCCTACCTTTTTCTCTCTCTCCCCATTCTCATTGTTTTTTGTGGCGCATATAAATTTGGTGCCCCTCTTGTACCAATATGATAGTTAAATTCGTTTTGTATAATTATAGATACTGTGTAACATGCTTACTTGTATTCACCTATAATCACTCATTAAAACGATATAAAATAAAGTAACTAACCAAAATGATTAAATCAATTAACTAGTGGAAGTTAAACTTCATCATCGGGGATAAGTTGTTTGATGATTAAATGAGGTTTTCATTGTTCAATAAGAAATAGTATTGATGAATGTTACAAGTCTAATAGAGTAAGATATTCGTCATATGATAATAAATAACAGTTGATCAACTGGTTTTTATCAAAAATTTAGGTTTACCTGGTGGTACCTGTAGAACGAATAATAAATTAAACAAACGATGGTTTCGAACTCTCTTTATCCTGTTGCATAACACTAAAACAGAACTGTGAAAGACATGGACAGACAGTATGGGCATAAATGTCTGCTAACCATCTATCATATCAAGTATGATGTAAAGAGAGAAGCGTCAAAAATTTGACTAAGAATTTGTTATGTACATCGAATTGTTGACTATTGATGTGGTAGTTTTACGATACAACAAACTCACAAATACTTGTTTGGTTTGGTTGGCATTTTTTAGCGAGTTTTTTCTACAGGATGGGGTTGTTGATCCCATGCCCAACCCTCCCTCCATTATTCGGGCTTGGGACCGGTAGTAACTCTAGGAGAGCTGCAGACAAAGTTTTAGAAACTTGCTACTTTCCCTCAACTATGATTGATATGAAAGTTACTATTTGCTTACCATAGATTCGTGCTAGTCAATTCAACAGTAGAATAAATTATCTAAGTCAGTCAGTCAGTAACAATGTAGAACTTCGTACGTACGCACGTCAGTTCGAGTTGTCACACCACATTTGCACAGAGATAAAATTGTCAATTCAAATCCCGTACTGGTAGAGGTAGCAAAAGTATAAGCAGTAATCGGGAAGATTAGGGTTTGGAGATGTTATTTAAAGAGTATAATCCAGTGAAATAAATTTAAGAAGAGAAAAAAGAGACAAGGAGGAATCAGGAGATTAGAATTTGGGAGAACACAAAGAGTGGACGCACCTGCGCCATTGCAAACGATTTTGAGCCATGTCATTCAAGGTCTCTAACCATCGGTTGCTATCATCTCTCGGATCCCAACCACGTAGTCTACACCTACCGACATGACTCAGTCCACTTGTCAGTGACTTCATGGACTTGTGCCATGTTTTGGTTTGGCCTCCCCTAGCTGTCTTCCAACCTACTCCTATACCACTGAACATAACACGTCGAAGCAGTCGGTCGTTGGGCATACGTAACACGTGTCCCAGCCATCTCAACTGATGAAGTTTCACTATGTCATCAATTGATTTGCCATCCTTACCTAGTACCCGTTTCCTAACAACTACATCACTTACTCGATGGTCCCACGATATACGAGCAATATTTCGAAGACACATATGATCAAATACTAGTAACCTACGGATATCCTCTACTCTTACCGGCCATGTCTCACTGCCATAAAGTAGGACGGAACGAACTGCTGCGCAGTAAACACGTCCTTTGGTTGATAGACGGATATCTCGCCTACGCCATAAATGACGCAAGTTGGTGAAAGCTAGTCGAGCCTTCTGTATCCGTGCTGAGATTTCGTCACATACCAGACCACAAGGGCTGATGAGACTTCCAAGATAAGTGAAGCGATCGACACGTTCAATTACTTCACTCCCTATCATTAGTTCACGTGCAGATGCAACCCAATCCTGAAGCAACATTTTGCATTTCGAGGGAGAGAATCGCATCCCGAACATGCCTGCATTGTTGTTCAGAGTGGTCAGAAGACTCTGCATTTTGTCAGTGTCTTCAGTTCAGATCAGTTCTCATATCTTTAATTTTCAAATAAATTAAAATATGGATGAATTTATAGTCCTGCTTTTCAAGGCAATATAATAATCAACTCTCACCTCAACGTTAAATTAAGAACTTCCTCTTGATCTAATTCTGAAACGGACGGTATAACTAATGGAGAACCAGACATAAACATAACACAAGGATAATTTGATTTTAACTCATTCGTTCCTGCTAATGATGATGATGATGTGGACGTTGCTGTTGTCATATCTGATGATGATTGTTGATTTTGTTGTAATGCTTTCGACCTTTCATGTTGTTTTAACTTGCGTTTAAGAGTTGTTATTTCACGTTGAACTTCCCATAGTTCATCAGAATAAGGAATCTTCTCAAAGGTTGTCGAATGTTGGCGATGACCTTTTGAGTGTTTGTCAGTTCCAGTAATTCTAATTTCATGTTATTTATTTAAATGCAAACAGATATGTGAGAAATAGTTATATGAAAATAAAGAACAAATTATAACTATAGATAATAAAATACACATACAATACATTGTATTTGACTACACATTCAGTGCTGATGACAGTTAAGTGTTTCTATGAGACAACTAGCATCTCCAGCGTTGCTACTTTACTACAAATGAAAGATTGAGTTGGTAAAGGTCAGTTCTAAAAATAGCACACCTTACATTAACTCATAGATTTCTGGCTCTAGCAGTAAAGTACGAAACGTACGGAGCAAACATAAAAAAGACTGTGTGTAACTGACTTTAAGTGGTTGTACTCTGGGATCTATGGTCATAAACACAGGTTTTCAGGACAATACTTAACCTAGTTTAGTTTTTTGGTCGAATGTATTTGGGTACAAGATTACAGAGCATCTCAATAAAATCTGAGAACCATATAGTAAATCGTTAATTTGCAAAATATCAGTTCGTCATCTCAAACTTAAACGTTCCTATCGCAAACATCAATCCATTGTCTCAGATTCCATCGTTCATGCGTTTTCATACCAATTGCGTTCCGTTCCCGTTCTTTCCTCATCGGCCTTCTAATGAAATACATTTTATGCCTGACCACCGTTATATACTATTTGTGTGGATATAAACAACCCAAATCACACTCGTCCCCCCTTTAAAGCATTCGTCCTTGTGGTGGTTCTGATCGTCATGCCACTTTCTTCTTCTCTGCACTCTGTGCCACACTCTCCGTCAAAATATCGAGTCTGCAGCGCACTGACCTCCGTAGCTCCGCCGACCTGCCGAGCATAACATAACATAAGATTTCCCGACACTGTAGCTACTGACTCATTACGATGGTTGAAGTTGAGCGTACCGTGACACACTAATTAAACTGTATTGAATGCAATATTTATTCCTATAGAACTGATAAAAAAAAACCAAGGAGCGACATTAGACAACCATTTCGGCCTCATTTAGAACTCCTCAGCAGATTAGTACATAACCCAAATTTGTCAATCATTTTCTAGTTGATATCAGTCCGTTGTGATGAAAACTACACTTACAGTAATATTGAATAATTCCCTCACAAATATTGCCCTTCATTTAAATTGTTTTGGGCAGCCAGATTAGCGTCAGTAGTATTTACTAAAAAAAATATGACTTGAAGTTCAATGTGCAAACCTGTACCTCGTAAATGGGTTATACTGTTTATATTCGTTATTTAATAAATATCTGAAAGACGATGGGATCAAAAAACGACAATAATCAGAAAAATAAGTGAATAATAAGCCATTCAAACAAACAAACACACCTTCGACGTTGATTACAATTATCTTTGGATCCACTCGATGTACCTGAGCATCCATCACCGCCAACAGGGACAGTAGTAGTAGTAGTAGTAGCAGAAGCTATAGTAGTAGTTGGTATTGATATACTCTGTATTATTAAATTATGTAATTGATCTAGGTATGCTTGTTGTTTAATTATTTCTTGTCGAATCGCTTCAGGATCTGTTAGAGTTTTACGTCGTTTTAATTCTGTCATTATATGCTGTACCTAAATTTAGTTTTCAAAACAAAACAAAAACCAACAACAAGAGAGAATGTACAATATAAGAGGATAATGATTTCATATTAATCGGCTTGTGTATGCACGTATGTATGTATGGCCGCATCTGTATAATAATCTTTTATAAATATAATCAAAATGTATATCTGGATCTTATTGTGTATGACTAGAAAAGATAATGACTACTGCTTTTCTTGAAAGAAGAACACCAATCCCTTATTATGATTTTACATAGTTGTGAATTGTTGAAAACTAGTCACATTAAATTGTGTACATGTGTTAGGTCTATCGAAGCGTCCAGGTCACCCAACTGAGATACACGCAAGACCGAAGTTCGCAAAATAACGATTTATCTACAATAGCAGTTCTTTATTGAATAATACGCAAAAATTGGTCACAAACCTCATCTTGTGAGGTGTTTGAAGCGTTTAACGCGTCCTTTTTTTATAAAGTAAAAAGGCTTTCTGTAACGGTAACATAAAGAATAATTACAACGTACGATAGTACAAAAGACAGCTGTGTCTACATTTGGTAACAGTTTATCAACAACCAAAATCTGAACCAAGAGCAAAACAACATGGAAATTGGTGTGTTTAAACAAATGCACAAAACTATAGATCACTGTTACAGTGATTAAGGTAAAGTAACTGTAATGATGAATACAATAAACGTTATAAGTATATGTAAAAATTGCTGAGATTACAACTGTTTACTGAATGCAAATAAGTAGTATAAAACAATGTACAAAAGAGAGGCAGAGAAGCGAGTAAGAACAATGCAAAACAAACTTAACAACATAGATTGGTTAGTAGATAGTTAAATCAAACATGATTTCATGAATTGTTAATATTATCAATCAGAACTAGTGACGGAATTTTGTGAATTATTTAAGAAAACTTGTATTTGAGTAATATGATATAAACAATATTTCTGTTAAGAATCACACACTTCAGATTGTGTTCGAATCCCATGATACAACTGAGCGTGAAAAGGGTCCTTTATTTCTTTCTGGAGAGATTTTCATTAGCTATTAGCCTTTTCGAATAAAAATTATACTTAACTGAAGTAAAAACGTTTTTCGATAAAACTGAGAGATGAAAATAAGAAATTCGGTGCATAAATCGGATAGGTTTGTTACCAACGATATACAAAGAAGTTAGAAAATTTTAATTCTAAACTGACGGTGTATTTTGGATTCATGATTATAAATGATCAAATGGTGTAAAATTACACAGTGATTACAAATGGAATGTTGTGTTCGAAACTATAAGCATATGGCTAACAATGGACTTTAACCAATAAACTATTACTACTAACGACTCGACTAGCTTTTGCCAACTTGCGTCATTTATGGCGTAGGCGAGATATCCGTCTATCAACCAAAGGACGGGTTTACTGCGCAGCAGTTCGTTCCGTCCTACTTTATGGCAGTGAAACATGGCCGGTAAGAGTAGAGGATATCCGTAGGTTACTAGTATTTGATCATAGGTGTCTTCGAAACATTGCTCGTATATCATGGGACCATCGAGTAAGTAACACAGTTGTTAGGAAACGGGTACTAGGTAAGGATGGCAAATCAATTGATGAAGTAGTGAAACTTCATCAATTGAGATGGCTGGGACACGTGTTACGTATGCCCAACGACCGACTACCTCGACATGCTATGTTCAGTGGTATAGGAGTAGGTTGGAAGAAAGCTAGAGACGGCCAAACCAAAACATGGCACAAGTCCATGAAGTCACTGACAAGTGGACTGAGTCATGTTGGTAGGTGTAGACTACCTGGTTGGAGACTGCGAGATGATAGCAACCGATGGTTAGAGACCCTGAATGACAAAATCGTTTACAATGGCGCAGGTGCATCTACTCTTTGTGTTCTTCCAAATTCTTATTTTCTGAACTCTTCATGTCCCTTTTTTCCTCTTTCCAAATTTATTTCACTGGATTATACTCTTTAAATAACATCTCCAAACCCTAATCTTCCCGATTACTGCTTATACTCTTATTACATCTACCACTACGGGATTTGAATCGACAAGTGCATCTCTGTGCTAAGGTGGTGTGGCAACTCGAACTGATGTACGTACGTACGAAGTTCTACGTTGTTACTGACTGACTAACTGACTAACGAATTTGTATTTCAACTTAAGAAACTCAAACGAATTCGACAATGATGCCAGTATAATGAATACAATTCGAGTAGAGAAAGAAAGCGCACATAAACAATCAACTTAAACTTACATTACGTAAATTATTTTCTTTACCAGAATTCCCTTCATCACCATCCAGTTGAATTTGTTCACATAAATAAGTGAGCAATGATTCTTGTTTCTTTAATTCCATATCTAATTCTTCATTAGTATCGGGCAACTCTAACCCATATAATGATTTCAATGGAGGTATATAAGCTTTTAATAGATAAATTGGATGAGGAAATAACCAATGCCAAGTACTCGGATCAATATTATTTGTCATGAATGTAGGCAATTCAGGATCTAATTTACATAGATCCAAAGTAAAATCTTTAACGCGTATATTCACAACAGACAGTTGGAATGAGTAGCAAAATGGATTGATTATTGAAGAATAAATGATGATTGAAATTGAATAACAATAGAAAACAAAAACATAATTAATTACATTCGACCAACTTCACATCTTAGTTAATAGAGAAGGTTGCATTATTATTAATATTACAAGTTAAAGTCAAACTTTTACGTGCTAAAATTACTATAGGACTGGAAACCATAAACATTGACCACTTTCCTATGATTGGTTAAATGCAATTAACACTTTTTAACTAACAAACTTATTATTATCAGAATGTGTTTTGTGGAGACATTAACACCGTCAGATGCCGGCTCAGTGGTCTAATGGTTAAGTGCTCGCGCGCGAAGCCAGTAGGTCCCGGGTTCGTGGATGCGCACTGCTGAGGAGTCCCATACCAGGACGAAACGGATGTCCAGTGCTTCCAGGTTTTCAATGGTGGTCTAGCTTCAACTGACTCATGATTTTAATCTGTGAAAATAACAACCTTATTATCGATTTCCTCAAGTCTTGAGAAAACTGATTTAAACAATTATGTTCTTTGCCCATTATTTATTCAAACACAAACAATGATACAAGGTGGTACCACATAGATATGCGCCACACAAATCATTCGATTTATGTAAGGGCTGGGATACTACTCGGTTGCCCAAACCGAAACAGGTGGTTTTCTTAGGGGGCCACACTCGGAGCTTTTGACTTAAAGGTCTGACCCATAAGGCAGTGGAACAACGTCAGGAGATGCAGTAATATGATAGTCGGTCACCAATAATTGGTTAATACGTCATTTGTTCCTGCAGAATACTGGAACTCATGTGCACCATTAGTTTGGAATCAGGGTTTTCCAACTCTACTAGGTGAAACCTGTGTCCACCAACCTGGTTAGAGAGCCGGACATTCGCTTTTCTTCCTCTCAATTTCGTGAACAAGATTAATGCCGCGAGAAAGCAGTGAGTAAGACTTATCTGGCAGTGGTTATATGCACGTGGCTATGTGAGAGCATTTGAAGACGGAGAGCTGACTCTCCCCACTCTCGATCGTACTAGGGCATTTTGGGGGCCCTACAGTTGTAACTACATAGAAACAGAAACACACCTATTGTAATGACTAGGCAGTTGTGTAATGCCAAAGTGTAACTATGTTGTAATTATCATTCGATGTGCATCAATCACTTTGAAAATGTCCTCATGTATTACCAGTCTAATATTTCATCCCCAGTACGAGAAATGACATATTTCTAATATAAAACTGATGTGAAACCTTATGATCAGGACTCTATATTAATAAAATTTTCCAAATATGAAAAATGGAAAAGTATCACTAGACAGAATTGTGTTACAATGCAAAACAACAAAAATAAATAAACTTTGAATAAAAACTTCAATAAGGTGAGCAATTTTATATGCTCCAGGACGGGGTATTAATTTTATAAATTTCAGTGGTTGAAATCATGAGTCGATTGAAACTAGATCACCATGGAAAACCTGAAAGCACTGGACGGCTGTTTCGTCCTGGTATGGGACTCCTCAGCAATTTATAAAAATCTTCACAAAACCAATTCTGATAACAATAATTTTATAATTGACACATTCAGGTATTAAATAAGCTAGGGCATTGGTTCGAAGTTTAATTAACTTAACTCAATTTAAGTAGATTTCACTCAGTCAGTTACTAAGTGTAAAGATTAATGTTCACAATTTTCAGTCACTTTGTTAATTTAAAGTAACTTAATTAAATGTTTAAGTATGAAAACAATCACCAGTCTAAAATCAGTTTCTTCAGGTGGAAATAAAAACTAAAACTGTACTTGCGTTTTAAATTTTTTGTTCTACACATTGACTTCTGGATTGGAACGTGTTGGTAGGTTCAGACTACTTGGTTAACGTATGTAAGGTTATCGTAGATAATGGTCGGAGATGTTAGGGATAAAATGGCTCAGAAGCGGTTACAATTAAACAAATTCACTCACTTCTTATCTTGGAATAATTATGCTTTTGATTCAGCAAACGTTTTTAGTTCTTTTTATATTATATTGTCTACGCCTAATCTTTCCTAAGACTACTGATACTGCTATTACTTCCGCTATTCTAGTCATCGTCTTGATAATTGCATGTCACTGTGCAAATATGGTATAGGAAATTGAACCGATGTTAGGTTCCACATCGCTTACAGATTAACTGATTATTCCAAGCAAAATCATCGATGAGAACAATTATATTCGAGTATTCTCGAAATTTTATCCCAAATCTTTGAATCGTATCACCAAGTTTGACTAGAGAATTAATATTTGTGTTTAATCAACACTGAAGAACCGTTATATACAAAGAACAGTCATCATATTGATGTATTTGTGAAATCCCAATATGTAGAAAATTAAATTTCTGACGTTACGTGACTTTGTATAAGTCACTTCCTTGAAGAATAAATAAGTAAAGAAACTGACAGCTTAAATTGTAGAAAGGAAATGAAGCAGCTCTATTTAAAATCAAACAGGTCTGATCATGTTAACGTTGTGTCATTTCAATCAAGATGATTCGATATGTGATCCACTTATGGGTATGTTAATGGACAATGTTATATTTGTAATGTGAAAGAGTAGGGTCAAAAATGTTTATTAATGGTGTTAGATGTCAACAGAATTCAATGTGTAGATATTTGAGTAAATAGTTCATGTTGGATAGATTCTTAGGTCTTCATTTCTATTAAGCACGGTAGGGTTTGACAATACATGAGAAGCTTTAAACATTCATCTCCCTTAATAATTAGAAAAAACCTTGTTGATATGACTAATATTGATTTGTGGTTGCTAAAAATAAATCGTACTACTACTGTTGATTTAATTTGTAGATTTTCTAGTTCCACATGATTATTTAGAGGCCATTTATGTAGCTTATATTGTTTCATGGCACGAATCATCAATTCCAGAGAATATCCTCAGATACAAAAAGCATCACAATTTATACATCTTAATTTATAGACACAATTGTGTTTCGAGGTAAACTAAATTATTTCGAAGAATAGCAGTTATTTTATAGAAGGCTGTAATTCTGTATGATTTAAGAATTCGCTTTAGTTCATCATACGCAAAATACTTCGAATCCGTTGGCCAGACACTATCAACAACAACCTACTATGGGAGAGAACAAACCAGATCCCAGTGGAGGAAGAAATCAGGAAGAAGTGCTGGAAGTGGATAGGACACACATTGAGGAAAGCACCCAACTGCGTCACAAGACAAGCACTCACATGGAATCCTCAAAGCCAAAGGAAAAGAGAAAGATCAAAGAACACATTACGCCGGGAAATGGAGATAGACATGAGAAAATGGAACAACAATTCGATAAAACTAGAAAGAAAGACCCAGGGCAGAGTGGATTGGAGAATGATGGTCGGCGGCCTATGCTCCATTAGGAGTAACAGGCGTAAGTAAGTTTAGTTCATCACCTTGACATAGAATTGTTGCCTAAATTTGACATTCTCTAATATATATGATTCCAGGACGATAGATTTTTTCGAAGACCGAGTACTCCAAGACTTTATGGCATATAGTAAAATAAACTGTATTAAAGTATGGTCATCATCTTACAAAAACAATTAACATACCTTGACAGAGACAGTGATGATAAAATGTTGCAAATCTTAATCATCATTTATAAAATGAGTTTCAAAAATATTGATAAACAAATTAATAAAACAAATTCAACTTATGAAAAAGACATTATCCCTATCGTTATACCAAATAATCGATATTATGCAAACCTCGTTAATTAAAATGAAAAAAAATATAATACTTCTGATCATTACGACTAATCAGTCAGCGCTTGGAAGGTCGAAGTCGAACATAATCGGCTTTAAAAGACATGATCGCTGTCTCTTTCCATAATAAAAGTCTGAGATATACTGCTTTTAATTAAGACCTAGTCGTAGTATAACGACTGTTCAAACTAATGTAGGTAGGATGTGGTTAAAATCGGAATAAATATCATATTGTTTTAACCAATGGTTGGAGACTCTTGGTGACATGACTCAGAATCAGTCACAATGGTGTCGGTGTATACACTCTTGGTCTTCCCGTAAACTAAGAGATTAAAATCGCTTCATATCTTTCTTTGTACGTACTAATTCCTTCTTCCTGTACTATATCCTTATTGCAATCTTTCTTTTATATATTACCACATCTGAATCAACTACTTCTATGAACCCGGTGTTCGTCTTGCTGTACTAATGCGGTATGGCAACTTGGACCGATGCATATATGTACCTGGTTCTACGTTGTAGCTGACTGACTGACTGAACCATTCTGTACTCGCTACCGATTCAGTAATATTTTGTTTGAGAAAAAAAGTATAATAAAACATACCTTTAGGTGGTGTAGGATTTAATAATATACCCAATAAACGATGACTTATGCCTAAACATGGTGATAAAACAATAATAATATTAGCTAATGTCATACGATTTTCACCAGCTCTATCAATAATATGCATCATATGTTGTATAATCCATGCCAGTAAATAACGATTTGATGTTGGCAATTCTTGATGTATTAAAACAGATAAATTATGATAGAATTGTACATTGTCTGTAGTTAATGATTCAATAACATTACTTAAACGTTTAGTTAAAATTGGTTCAGGTAAACTACGTAGAAAATGTTTTATTACACTGGTAATAACAGCTGGATCATGTGGTAGTATAGTGATTCCTGTTGTCTGTGGACTTGTACTATTATTATTATTATTATTATTATTATTATTATTATTATTATTATTATTAGTTAATATAGTTGAAGTTTGTTTCACTGGTGAATTGGAATTCTTTACACAAAATGCTCCTGTAATAAAATTAGTCGGTGTAGGAATATTTCTGCCACGATAATCTGAAGTTTTATGAGATGATAATTGAGAATTTTGCTCTTTTAATTTAGAATGAGCTGAAAACAAAATAATACATACATTAAAATGAAGAAAAAAATGAGAGACAATATTATCTTGCATAAACCAAACGTGCTTCGCGTGGTCACATTATTCAGGTGTAACGCTAGGCAACCTAAAGTGACTGTGAAACGCGGTTAATAATTGGCTCTTGAATGATGTTATCATAAAATAACTTAATTCTTGAATCATCACCATTGTATGTAAAGAGATATAATAATTTGTTAACTAAAGCTACTTTACCGGTATGAGGTTTTTTATCTTATTTGTAATTATCAGTATGGGATTGTAGTATTTGAACAGTTAAATTCGCTAGTCGATCTAAGCTAGACCACCATTAAAAATTTGGAAGCACTAGATAGCCGTTTCGTCCTAGTATGGGACTCCTTAGCAGTGCGAACCCAAGATCCTGCATACGGAACTCGAACCCGAGATCTTCGGGTCTCTCGTTCGAATGCTTGACGTCTGTCTAGACCACTGAGTCGGCACCCGACAGTGTGACTTCTTTCTTGTGGACAGTATTTTGTAATGGTATTTTATTTAATATTATCCTCATAAACAATTTCTAAGAAGCCGTTTTCAAGTGTGCATCTCCATTATATACCTATTCAGTTTAATCACCTGTTCTAACCATAGTTAACTGAGTTCGATTAGATACAAAGCATATAATATGCCTGACTACTGCATCATTACGATGACTTCAAGTCTAGTATACATGAAAATCGTCATTATATCAAATTCATGTTAGTTAGTAAATATAACAATGAAGATTATCCGGAAATGCCAGCCAATTGCTTATATAAATAAAAAACCTGGCACACATATAAAATGTTTCAAGTTATCGTTGTGGATTCGTATTACGGTTGATGGAACTTTCAAGATAATTGTTTCTCAAGGTGTCCAAGAGGCTTTGTTTTGTCAGAAAAGAAAACATTCATCTAACCTAATGATAACAAATGAAGTTGTCCATTAAACAAAACAGAACCGTAAGACCAATTTGCTGGTTTCATATATTTACATAGTAACCTCCGCCTAATCTCAGTATTGACCTATTATTAACAAAGAAGTTAATGATCCAATTCCAATCAAATTACAGAAGATATATATATATAATGTTATTATTAAGAATCAAATATTGTACTAAGAGCATAAGTATTGAGAATAAAGTGATTATTATTACTATCATTTAACATGTTAACTTACATGAGCTTAGATGTCGTATTTTCCCTTTAGAACTAGAATCGGATCCAATTTGAAAATGACTAGAACGTTGTTTAGTATAGTTAGTTTGATTACAATAAAATGCAGCTGATGTCGGCGGAATATCTGGAAATTCTATACCATTATCAATTGCAGAAATTACCGCTTGTACTTGTGAATGTACACCTGGTACCTAAATTTCATGTTAAGAAAATTAACTGTATAGAAACAAAATATAGCCAATGTGATCAATTAAAAGAGGTATAGATCAAATTAATCTGGACTAATATCAATTAAAAACCAAGGAGCACATTGGATAACCGTTTTATTTCATAGTTTACATCACGGAATGACTAAAGATAAACAGTCGCCGAACGCCAGAAAGTATTAGATACTTGTTTCACTGTAATGTCGGATTCATCGACAGTGGGTATCGAATTAAAGATCTTACGATATTTCAGCGAGTGCTTAATCCATGCCTCCATTGAGTTGCGAATCAATGATTAACATTTCTAACTTTTACTGTTCAAAAATTACTTTACTTTTGTTCATATATCCGGATTTCAAACCTCAGTTAATTTATGAACCTACACAATCATCATCCAATACAACGGACTGTTATAACCCAGTGAAGAATAAATTACAGGTAACTCCCGAGGCCTATTAATGGACTAATATTCTATAAATATTCTTATTGTAAAACTATTGAATAATTAGACTATGTATATTTATATTTCTCTTATTATAAGCTTTATTTTGACCTATAATTTATTATTGTACGATTTACGATTCTTAAGCTATGCTCAGTCTATTAATTACTGTCCCCCTCGTTCACAGCCACTTTTTGGCTTATTTGTGTACACATGTTATTTTTTATTTTATGGTACGTTGTGGTCTGTCTGAATTGATATATAAACCCAGTATGTTTGAAGCTGGTATTGTGTTCTGGACTCAAGTGGAAGGGCTAAGAGGACAAAGGACGAATCAGGACGCTAAACTGCCCATACCGGTTGAACGTCATTGGTTTGGCATAGTGCGAAATTGTATAAGTCGTATTCTGACTGGTCGATAAGTCGCGTGATAGAAAGCCAGACATCAAGGTCATAACACGAACCATAAGGGTCTTAGCCACTCATTGAAATTCCGAGAAATTAGCTCTTAAAATTAGTCACTAATACGAACATGATTACTGTTAGTAGAGGGGTTTGGATTTGGTTGTTGAATGTCGTATTTAATATCAATAACTGACTAGAACCTCCATATCCTAAAACCCGGTTAAAACACCGGACATTCACTTTTCATCCCATCCATTTCTTAAACAACACCCTCATTGAGAGAAAGTAGCGAGTAGCACTTCCCCGTCAGTGGCTGTATACGCATAGTCATGTGAGAGCATCTCGAGAGGGGAAGCTGACTCTCCCTACCCTCGACCGTATCATAGTATTTGAGGGTAATATTACAGTTTCTGAATGTAAATAAGTAGTAAAAAGAAAATGTATACTTACACGATATATTCCTTCAGAACTTAAACCATACTGTTCAATATAATCGATACAATGACGAAAAAACGCTGGCAGAACAATTCCATCATGACTAGGATTTCTGTTACAGGCTATATCTAAAGGCATTCCAAAAATAGTCTAAATAGTGAGTAGGATAGAAACGAAGAAAATAATAATAATAATTACACTAAATAATGTGGATTATAAAATGAAAATGTATGTAAAATGCACATATGTGATGTTATCGATGTATTCAAAAGTATATCAATAAAACTGTGAAGCTGAAATTTACTTTCTTCGTGGTCCTACGCTCATTCAAACATTTCTAACATTTCTAGTTGTTTAAGAGCCTAGCGTGAGACTGACAGGTTCTGGGTTCGAATCTCGCGGGGTGAGGGATCGTGGGTGCGCACTACTGCCGAAGAGTCACGTAGTAGGACGAAACGGCCGTCCAGTGCTTCCAGGTTTCCCATGGTAGTCTAGCTTCAAGTGACTCATGATTTCTATCTGTGAAATTATTATTTCCTTAAAATCTATGATGAGAACAAACAATAGTTGGATGTAATCGAGTTTTACCCATATTCATAATAAGAATTGAGCGCATCGACAACTTCACGTATTTTAAAAGTTAGATTAGCTCTTTTGGGTTAATATCTTACACAATCTCAGCACAAATGCAAAAAACTCCAGCAGGCTTTTTTTCCAACTTCAATCACTTCTCCCTTAAATAAGATCTCAGTCTGCTAACTAAACAGCGAGCACACTACCCAGTAGTCTTCTGTATATTATATTATTTTTGAAACGTTGCTCTCGAAAGCAGGATACATTTACAAATTACTACTATTTTATCATAGATGTGTTCGAGATATTTGTCGTATATGGTCAGATCACTGAATAAGGAATATGGTTAAGAAGGGGGCAAGTTGATAAGGAGGTAGCGGAGGATGTTCACTGACTGATATGATCGGGAGATGTGTTGCGTGTGACTGACTACCGTCTACGTCAGCACATGATGCTCTATAACATAGAAATAACTTGGAAGAAGTTAAGTAAGGTCATAACAAGACATGACAGTCATATAGATTCATATAATAGAAGAAATTAGTATAATAATATTGAAATTTACTTTATTCACACTTTTTGTTTGTTCTTTTTTTGTTGATTTACTATGTGAGTGTAATTTTAAGCCACGTTTCTTTTTATTTTTAATTGAATTAGAATGATGTAAATTTGATTGAGAAACTATGTCCATTGAATCAGTAGTATTAGTAGTAGTATTAGTAGTAGTAGTACACTTTAATTGTTTCTGTTCTTTCTTCTTAATTTTCTGTTTTGATTTATTATTATTAGTATTATTGAGAATATTTTCATGTGTATTCGATGAAATAGTAACTCCAGTCATAGAACTAGTTACTATCTCATTGTTTACGCAGTTAGTAGTGGTAGTAGTAGTAGTAGTAGTAGTAGTAGTAGTAGTCTGTTGTAAATCCATCGAATTTAACGCATTCAATGAAGAGTTCTTTTCTATTGATTGATTATATAATGAATCTTGATTGATGTTTAATGTTTTAGATGAAGTATCTAAAATATTAAGTTGATTTACTTTTTGTTCTTCAACTTCTTCAACTTTTTCTTTATCTTTCCTACCTTTTTTATGCTTTTTTGATCGAGATAATCCTTTAAAACTGGATTTTGTTAATTTCGATGATTTTTGACTTGGATTAGAAGACATTTCGATTGGAACTGAACTATGAAAATGAAGATTGAACAAATGAATATGATTTTAATACAAAGTATATAAGTATCAGAGAGAGAATTCATTATCGAAATAACGGTAAGATGTTTTATTTAATTATGAAACATCTTCTTAAGTGAAGATGTAGTCAACATAGTGAAGAGCCGAATATCCTGGTCTATTGTAATGCGAACCGATCATAGTGTAAGTATAAGTCAATCGTTTTGAATAACTTATTGAGTTGGTAATTTTCTGATCAAGAGGGTGAACTAGTGAATTGTCAAGTCAGTGGTAAAGGTAATGCATTTAACATGAAGTCTGAATTTTCTTGAGTGTATATACACAGATGACGAATCTTAATACATGAATGAGATAACTATCCTCAAACTGGAATCAAAAATACTCATGATGAAGAACAAATCTAGATATATCAGCTTCAATATCTGCATTCGCCAGACAAAAATCTTTTCTTAGTTAGTGTTGAACATTAGACATTCAGTATTAGACAATCTATTGTATAATTAATATCTGAGAACAAGTTGCAAAAATACAATCATATTTTTAAAGAAATTTGAGTAGAAAGTTCAAATCGAGTCTAGTTTTATTCATGCATTGATAACAACAGAAGAATCAATAGGGAGCATTGAAAAGATGTTTCATTTTAAGCTTGGACTTCTTAGGAGTGTACCAAAGTTATCTTATACATGAGATAAGATCTAAGACTTTCAAATCTCGGTAGGGATATGATATCATTAGACAAGATGGAAATTTACTGGTTCACGTGCCTAACAACACAGAATTCATGACAGATCGCAAGATTATCATCAATCCTTTCATTTATCTGGTAACTTAGATACTATAAATGAACAGTTAATTGTACACATAGGAAGCATGGAAAAATGAATACAAAACTTATCATGATTTCGGACTTGATAGAGATCATTGGCAAGTAATTTACTAAGTGAATTAGGTTAGATTATATTTAATAACGAAAAAGGAATAATAAATGTATTCGTGTATAAAAACACTGGTTTTGAGATGGATCAAATAGTTTCAACAATCATTACCATGATGTTGATTTATTTTCAAGTTATTAAAATGGTTATTATTTGACAGTCTTAAGTACCTAGATACAAAGTCTTGATCAGAACTCTCTAGGTCCTTAACTAAACCACAATTTTTATAACAAACAAATGTGAATAATTAACATACACATTATTCAGCTTCGATTAAGAATCTTATCTATCGATTGACAGATATTATTGTGTCCTTTATGCATTATGTTGGCATTGATCACTTGTATAATACACTAACAATACACTACAATAACACTTGTGATCTATGTATCTAATGTCATTTTAATATTCATTCATATTTGGCACCTGCAGTGTTGGGAACCCGTGTTCGAGAACTACATCTTACATTTGAAAAAGTTGAAACAAATTTTGAGATGTGTTTAGGAAACTCTGGATTTAAATTCACTTAATGGGACTAATTATCATTTGGATACTGAGGCTCGATAAATTATTGAAGGGAAGTGATTAAAATTAGTACAGTTTTTGAGTTGGATGATTTATCGTTTCAATATCCTTTTTCCATGGATAAAGATTACCATAATGTTGGAGTTAGGTTATTAAGAATTGGATGGCGATATGATTAACATAAATTTAAGGGCAATTTTCAATATTGCTAGATGTTGAAAAGTAGATTTTTTTTTCTTAGTTTCGAAACTTTTAACCATTAAATACTCATGAATTCGCATACAGGATGAAAACCTTAACCTTGAGATCTAGAAAAAGACAAGTATAATATCATCCAGATAATAGTCAATCAGAATTCAAAGATTCGTACGAGGTAGTGGAGATTTGTAGCTTAAGTGGAATTTTCTTCTCTGGGCTAGATGGTTTAGTCGTAATGCTTACACTGTTCTTCTGCATAATATCATTAGTATAAACTTCTGGTAAAAGTGAAGTATTTGAAATTCTTCACACACGACTCACCTTGTCCTGTCGACCTCGACTGGCTATTGTGGACATACATTAGACTGGGAAAATGTTGAAATATTGGATAGTGAGAATACTAAAAACATCAAGGAATCTTTAAAAGTTTGCATTCAGGTCAGTCAGCAATCAACAAACACATCGAAATCAATCAGGAAAATCATGGACTAATGTAGGATCAAGAATAAAGTAGACACTGACATATTAAAGCTCAAGCATAACCAACTAAGATCGAGATCGACAGGACAAGATGAGTGATATGTAGAGAATTTCGAATACTTCACTTCTACCAGAAGTTTATACTGATGACATGGCTTAGAAGAACGATGAAAACACCTCAACCGAACGATCCAGTCCAGAGAAAAAAACTCCACTTAAATGTTGTTGCTTATACTGAATGTTGTTTATCACTAGTACCATCACTATATCTACTATTCTATATTTTTTCTTAATAATTTCATCTAGATATGCAATAGGGATAACTTGATATGATGGTTTCTAAGTTGATCATAACCGACTGGCTGACTGACTGATTATAATTTCAAAATGAACAAATTAAGATTATTATCATAGAAAGCCAACAAACTAATCACCATACAACAAAATATATCAATCATGCAAATGATATCAAAAACCGTAATATCAATAAACTAATTATGAAAATTTTATGTATTTAACAAAAAAATATGTATATATATGTATATGTGTACTATTTCGACACTAGAAAAAGAGGGGTGGGGGTGGGGAAAAAATAACAACCGAAAGAGCACAAATAATGAGTGAAGAAAGAGAATTCTAGAAAAGAAACACCATTAGCTGATGAAAGAGAGAATGAAATGAAAAATATTTCCAAATTAAACTTTAAAAAAAATAGATGAAATAAGAAAAGAATAAGAAAGAAAGAAAGAAGTCAAAAAGAGAAATCTGAAAACTATTATCATTTGATGTTGCCATAGTGATTACTTTCTACTTCATGTTTACACATACCAACAATTAGATTAAAATTACTTCAGTACAATTAAGTTTGATGTTTATTAACTATAGTGAAATATGAGTATGTCTATAGAAGAGATTGAAAGAAGATAGAGAAGGGAAAGAAAAGACAACAAAAGAATACCTTACACAAACATAATAATTCGAAACGGATCTTACCAAACAAACAAAAATATATATGTATATATATGATGAATAGTTGATGAAAAATAAAATGAGAACAAACAGAGAAATAGTAACTTTCTTCGTTCTTTTTTTTTCTCTCTCTCTCTCTCTTTAAGAGTAAATATTACATAACAGTATGATAAGGTAAGTTGTATTGATAAAGGGAAAGGGGGAGGAAGTTAATACAATGAGAAATAAATATAAGTATAACAAATAAACTAGCACAGAATAAAACAAGTTTACAAGACTAAATGATGAATATAAAGAAGAAGAAGAAGAAGAAGAAGAAGAAGAAGAAGAAGAAGAAGAAGAAGAAGAGGGAATAGAGTTAACGAATCCTAGATTTTACACACTTCATCAGTAGAACACATATACACTACTTTTAACCATTTAATTAAAAAAAAAAAAAAACTATGCAAAAAAAGGATGAATAGTCACCGATAAATAGACAAATAGGAAAAGGGAAGAATGCAAAATTTTTTGAATCAAATCAATCATTATTGGTTTATTAAGAGAAGCGCATTTGTAGGCGCACAAGACGAGACTTCTTTTTTTTAACTAGATCAAAATGGAAAAAGAAAAGAGTCTTTTGAAATTTTACAGAAAACAAACGATCTGTGTAGTAGGAAAGATCGTCACTTTATTAATTCCAACAAAAAAATAGCGTATAACAAGACTCTCTGTGAATAATTATGTATAAATATAAATTCAAGAAAGATAGATAGTTGAATGACTTGATAAAATAGACGGGGATAGGAGGGTTTGGGTTAGCTGACACCGTTGACATGCCAATCCAACACAGTGCTGAGTGATGAAAGCATTCACATTATGACAAATGACAAGATAATGAAGTGATATTTCTACTGTCAACGGTGATGATGACGATGATTTTTAAAAAAAAAGGAGGTTGTTGATGAACATTAATTTTAATATAGACCAAATTGTAAATTTGAAGGTGTAATCAAATCAGATGATGTACTGGAGGCTAATTGATGACTAATCCATAACTGATTAATACGTTCATATTCAGATTCCACAAGAAATAGAGGATTTCCACGGCTGAAGATTTTTTTAAAGAAACAAAATAATAAAATGATAAAGAAAAGACGTTGAATAACATGAAAAAACTGTTCTGTTCATTTGCACTACTTGTACAGTCTAGTTTACGTAAGGTGAGTAAACATTAAACTATGTTCTAATTCAATTACTCTATTTCACGTAATTCAGTCTAATCAATCGGATAGTGTTATTAATCCTGATACACAAAAACACAGTATACGTCAAAACTAAATACATAGACAAGTAGTATCTGCTGAATTTACTTGGAATTTCCTACATGACCACTAACTATATTACTAGTGTAGTATTTTCTTGTGATTGACTAACATTATAATGTGTAACATCATATCAACTCATAGTATGATTTGATAACAAGATTTTGCAATTCAAACATCAGTGTTTTGTTACAAAAGTTACCTTTACTCAAAAAAGGAATTCAGATTTACTGTTACTTAGGATTTACTATTTCATCATAAAAAGAGAAATGGTAATGTATCCAATGAGTATTACAATTGAGTAGTATAACTATCTAACTGTTAAATGACTTAATACACTGATATTATCTTTTGAAAATTAGTAGAATAAAATGCTTATTGTTTTCTTGATTCAATAAGATTTTCTTAATACAATAAAATAACTTCATAGAATGACTGTTCATTTTGTATTGTTTATTTGGATAGAGATACATCCAGCTAACGAGTCCGAAATAGGATGAATCACACGTCCTCGATTCCACTGCTAGTCACCATCTATCTTTGCTGATAGAATGTATGTTGTTTC